AAAAAAAAAAAAAAAAAAAAAAAAAAAAAAAAAAAAAAAACTAGAAGCAGAGAAGAACAAAAAGGAAGGTGAAGAAAGGCCGGCCGCCGGCGAACACAAACCGTACGCAGAGCGAAGCAGTTCCCGACCTGCACCAAGCGAATTAGAGACCGCCGGTGTTGTAACTGAAAAGAAACAACGCGGAGAAATTTCCGGCAAAGCTTCTCGCCTCTACCGCTGGCGCCGCCGCGGCGTACGAGTGCAACGACGGTTAGCTGAAGTAAGCGGAGAGAGGACGTAGACTAAGCCCTATGCACTGCGAAAAGAAACTTAGACAGTTCAGGAGTATTTATTGCACTAGAACCGAAGACGATGATGACACGTGGCCATTGACAACTGAGAAGCCGCGTCGATCCAACGGCTCGATATGCTTCAAAAATTGGGGTCCACCGGCACTAATTGATGTGAGGTACAGTGACCTCATGTGTAAGCTTCTTCGCAGCTCCAAAATGTCCATTAAAAAAAATTCTAATTGTTTTGTAAATGTAAATTTACAATTCCATAATAATTAGACAGCTTTTAAAATTTGGTTATAAATTCTTTTTAAAATAAAAAGATAAAACCCGCCATAAATTATTAAGAAATAACAAATACAAATTTAAAAAATAAAAACGAAGAATCAAATATTTCCCTCTGCACATGGAATTCGAAGCAATCTTTGGGCCATGAAATTGACACAAACCTTACAACTGTTTCCACTTTCCATCCCAATCATAAAAGCTTCTTCACAAAAGTAGAGAGGCAACAAATAACCAAACTTCACCTTATCCAATATTTTTTGCCATTAAATATTTAACTCTTCTTTGGAGCTTATCATAAAATCCAAAATTGTTGTTAGGAACTACTTTATACGCCTCCAAAAGCCCTACCTTCTTACGTTCCATCTCGTAAATTGTAAATTGTAACTGCCTATACTAATAAGATGAGTCTTCTTTTGTGGTGGTTCAATCATAAGAACTTCATTCAAATAATTATATATTGGGTGACCACCTAGGAATTTCCACATGTGAGTGATGACAGACCAAAGATATTAGAAGCACTCGTGTTAATACTAAGTATGAAGCGTTAAATTTGTCAAAATTTTGGATCCTCAGCTTCTTTATTTGATTCGACTGTGATTTGGAACCAAAAATTTTAGACTTTTTATTTATTTATTTATTTTAATTTTAAGTTGGCTTAGTTTTTAAGTTAGATAGTTAGAAGTGGGTTTGAAAATTTTAATTTGTTAATCAATCACATTTTTTATGCTCAAAATTAGGATTTGAAATTTAATGAAAAATGTTCCATTTATAACTAAAGGATTTAATAGATGAGTCCATTCTTATCCTAAGTTTTCTATTTCAACAAATTAAAATCTTTGATTAGATTATACCTATTTGTTTCTTCTAACATTCTTGTCAATTAATTAAATATTATATGTTATAATAAGAAGCTTAATTAAAACTTTTTAAACAATAATGACTAAATTAAAAACCAATTCAAATCAATTAAAATTGAATAAAATCAACTAAAATCAAACTAATTTGGCAAAAAAACCAATCAATTAATCTAACTAAAATTGAATAAAAAATTCAAAACGACCCAAGTCCAACCCACTGCCAAATTCATTCCCTATACTCTTCGATGTCTAGCTCTAATATCATTTGTGATGTGCGCCAGCCGCCTGATATTTGGCTCTGATACTATTTGTGGTGTGTCAGCGTTCTTACTAGCACGCCGTCATATCATTTCTGGTGTGCCTAACTCTAATTTCATTTGTAACGGCTCAAGCCCACCGCTAGCCGATATTGTCTTTCTTAGACTTTTCGTTTCGAGCTTTTCCCAAGGCTTTAAACGCTACGGTGAGTTTTAAACACATTTATGAAGTTATAAAGGTCGTTTCGCTTATTTCCTCAACTGACGTGGAATCTTACCAATCAAATCGGAATTAAAACTTGAAGGCTAAATAAGAGTTCTTCAAAAAATTATTATTAAGAAAAAAAAGGGGGGGAAAAAACTACAGTATAGGAATCGTACGTTTTCCAAGGAACATATGGAAAATTTCTCATGAAATTATTTGAAATTTTTATTTCCGCTAATCCAAATTGGTTTGAAATGGAGGAAAAGGATGATCCTAAAAGAACAGGGAAGAAATTATTTGGCTCTGGAGCTGCAAGGCGGACTGAAGTAAGTTCCATTAGAAGGATGAAATTTAAGCACGCAATGAAGATGGCACCTGTACTTAACAGATCCAAGCAATCCAACGCGCCATTGAACTCTCGTATCCCCGATCAAATCGAACCGGCTCACATCCGACTTCAACGCGTAATCCACTTCCTCCATCTGCTCCGGCGTCAGAGGAATTGAATTCGAAGCCACTTCGTAATGCAGCATCAGAGAACCGTTCTTCCTCACATCGAAATCCCTCGCCACGAGCTGCGCGATCTTAATCCCTAGGAAATGGAGGAAGAAACTCGTATCCGAGAAACTCGCATGCGCTTTCGCGTTATCGTTCTCCGCCTTCACCACCACCGTCAATTGAACTTCCAGACGCCCGGCGATGTCGTTCTGGAAGTTGTCGAGATGAGCGTCGATAATGCCGATCATCGGAACCCTAGGGTGGATCACTAGGTAACCGATGAAGATGACGATGCCTCCGATTATGACGGCGATCGAAACTACGGTACAGAGCAGGGCGGCAAGCCAAACGAGAGGATGAGTGCGGCGCTTTGCGTCGGAGATCAGTTTCGGTGGCATTGGGCGGTTGGAGATTGGGGATTTCGTGAGGCCGTCAACATCCGGCGGCGATTTTTCTTCGAAATTATGAGGTAATTTGACTCTGCTTTTGAATTGAGGGATTTAGGTATTTGATTTTTGTTTAAATTTATTTTGTGGAATTCGAAGTTCAATCTGCTGGGGAAGGTTTTGGTATCTCTACCTTTCCTGGTTGCAAAGCATTTGAATTCGGAGAAACAAAACTCCCTGTTGTGATACCACAATTTTTAGAGGTATAATGTTCTTGGGAATCTTTGCCCACTCACATCCCTCTTACTTTTTTTCTGTTTTCTTCCAAAGTAAAATACCAAACTTGCACTGCTAATTCCTTCCCCTTAGTACCAAACTTGGATGACTATTATTCAATGCTAAGTAACCTATTACAAATGTTTTTTAAAGCATAACGAATAATCGATTTCATACCATTTCAGAGCCGCCAAATGTGCACTATCCCACCCAAATTACAATGGGTTGGTTTGGATTGAATTAGGTTGGGTTTGGTTACTTTTTTTTTTTTTTCAATTTGAATGGATTGAATTTTTAGAAAATAGAAAAATTTGAATCTAGGCTGACATTTTTTTTTTGGTCCAACCTAAAAATAGAGTTACAGATCAACTAAACCCTAATCCTGCATTACTTTCAAGATTATAACCCAGATTAAGAATATGTAACTCATGTTAGTGATGGGTGTGAATGTTTGAGATTTAACTAACTAATAATGTAACATGATAGATTATAATTTTTTAAAAAATAAAAAATTGAGTTTGATTGGATTGTGAATTAGATCTTGTTTTACTGATAACTAACTAACACAAATCTTTTGAAAAACTTAAATTTTGAGTTGGTCTAACGGATTTTTCTAGCTCAATCCATGTATATGGTGTCATTTTATTTATTTATTTATTTTAATTTTTAGATTAACTTCCAAAAATTAAAATATGTTTTAAACTTTTCACATTTCTTAAAAATAAAAATACTGAGTTTAGAATAAGATATGGCTTTACTCAACAAATAATAGGCCGTAGAATCTATGTAGCTATGTGTTTTTAATGAACTCGAGTAAAGAACAAATTAGACTCCTTTATAGACGAGAGGGGAGGGAGGATCTCATTCTTTTTAATGCTTAAATAATACAAACAACTTTAAGATAACTTATATTCTCCAACCTAGATAAATTTTATTTTTTATTCTTAAGTTTTAAAATTTGTTCTAAAAAATAAATTTTTTTATTCATTTTGCAGTTGATATTGTAAATCGATTATATAAATCGAATGAATTTAGTAGTATTGTAAAGAATATTACAGGATGTCTTTTAATTCGTCAAATTTTATCATTTTTTTTTCTTGAAAATAATTATTATTGAAAATAAATTTTATCATTTTCTTATAATTCTAAGGTTATTTTGAGACCAATTTTCAAATTAAAAATAATTTTTTTTTATTGATGCTTTACCCTTGGGAGACATTTTGTATAAATTAATATCTTTTTAGTTTCCAAATGTTGGTAGAAGTTTAAAAAAAAAACCTTTTTTTCCTTGATATCTGTGCTAACTTGCACTAGCCATAAAATATTAAATTTTAAATAAAATATAAATTTTTAAATAAATGGTTATTATAATATTAAATTTTACGTTCACTCAAGTTTATCATTTTTTCTTACGATTTTACCATGATTTAATATTGCCGTGAAATTTTGTTCTTTAATTAAAAAGACATCAAAAAATAACTATGAAATTTCTCTCCTCGTCATCTTTCTCGTTATCTCTTCTATAATTTTGTACCCAAATTAAAAAGATATTTAATTTGATTTGAACTCAAAGTTATAATTTCTCAAAAACTTGAACTTATATAAGATGTTTTCACGAAAATTTTGGTTTAAGATATAAAAAAAATTAAAAAACGTAAAAAAAAAAGTGGTCATGTAACTAAAATAAGTTTGTATGGAGGAAGGTATGAATTTTTTTTTTTTCCATCTCGGTAGTGCCTTTAATCATGGTGGTGTTGATTTTTTTCACCCTTTCCTTCTCTTTTTTCATATCGAGAATATATATATATATATATAATTATTAAATAATTATATCAATTTAAATTTTAATCGTTTATTAAATTTTGTTTTAAAATTATTAATGCATAACTTTCACGTGCGAACAAAACTTATTTAAATATAATAATTAATAAAAATTAGAGAAAAATGCTAAAATCAAATAGACGTTAACAAATTTTCATGAAGTTTGAATATTCTTTTTGTCAATTATTATTCAACTGACTATAAGTAGTTGGGAAAAATTGTTTTAGTGCGGCCCACTGGGCCAGATGGGCCGATAAAACCTCCTTTTGATAAATCTTTTTCAAATATTTTCGGTATCGACCCTTTATTTTGAAATATTGCATAATTCCCCCAGGCTTTCTACTCCGAAAATCTCCCGCTCGCTAACTAGTTCAGATTTCTCGGACTTCGATTTCTTCCCTCACTTGCAGTTCGTCACTTTGTCGTCGTCGTCGCCGTCGCCGTCGCCGCGACTCTACGGCATTAACTGGAGTCAACTCACCGACTCGTTTCACTGGCAGCAGTTTTCTAATTTATTCTATCTGCTGCGTTGCTGTCGCGCCATTTCCGCATCGTTTGATTTCAGGCAGAATTTAGCAAGACAGGGTTGGGGATCGTAGTGTATACAAGTTTTGAAAATGGATAAGAAGCACGAGATT